GCTGCATTTGTCCATCATTCTCCCATTACTATTAGACAAGCCTGGTTCCCCTTCCACGTGAAAGCCCTGTGTCCCAAATCTTCTCTTCTGTAGTTACTCCAACTGATCCTCTTACAAGATGGACTCAAGGCCCTTCCCATCCTGGTCAATCCTTCTCTGGATATCCTCCAGTTGGTCAGTGTCCTTCCAAGAACATTGTGCCCAGAAATGAGCTGAGTCTTCTAGATGTGGTCGCCTAGGGGGGCTGCAGTAACTCACATTTAGAGTCAGAGGACCGAGCTTCCTGACCAAGCCCTGCTGCTTCCCACCTGTACAACTGTGGGCAAATCACCCTCTCTGGGTCTCAATTTTCTGTAAAATTTGTAACTCACTCTCTACATGTATGGGGGGAGGGGAGTGGGGGAGGGGAACCTGCTTGAACCCAAAGGTAAAGTGCTCATCTATCTTGATTATCCTCTCTGTGGAGAGGGAGACTTTTAGCAGCAAAGGAAGATCATGGGTAGAAGGTCTCACTGGGGAGTCAGGGATCATGGGACCTTGGGCAACCCAAGATGGGTGAGGAAATAGGAGAATGAGTGTCCCTTCATGAGTTCAGATCATCCAGCCCAGACGAGCTACATCAAAGGGAGCCAGAAGTTACTTCTTCCCTTTCCCAGGGATGTCGTGGCAGCCTCAGACATAAACAGGAGCAAAGAGAGAAAATAAAAGCAGGACAGAGCATATTGACATGGGAATTTCTGTTCAGGTATGGGCAGGACTGGACGACCTAGGAGGGCCCTTCCAACTCGGGGATTCTGCCTGAGAGCTTAGCTCTGTCCTAGTGTGCTGTGTGGCTTTGGGCAAATCTCAGCTTCTTTTTTAGCTTCTCTGAACCACAATTTTGACTTCCGTGAAATGACATGAGGTCAGTCATGTACTACAGTCGAAAGCACTGGCTCTGAGATCACAAGACCTGGGTTCTAATCCTCCCTACTGGTGTTTACCACCTCTGTAACCCGGAGCGTGTCATTGAACTCCCTGAATTGCCTGAAGTTAGACTGGACGCCTCCTGAGGTTCCTTCTAGCTCTGGGGCTGATTTTCCCATGATCTTTCTAGCCTCAGTTTCCTCATGTGCAAAAAGAGAGAGCTGAACTAGATGCTGGGACCTAGCTACCAGGACTGAGGTCCCTTCTAGCTCTGTGATCCTGTGATACCCTAGAACCCTTGTTTATAGGATTACAAATAGCTAGCACATATATGTGTGCATGTGTACATACATATATGTATATATGCACTTGGAACATCATCTCATTTGGTCCTTCCTACAGCCCAAGTAGGTAGATGCTATTATTATGCTGATTGCACAGATGAGGATATTAAGTGACTTGCCCAGGGCCACATAACTAGTACGTATATGAGGCAGGATTTGAACTCAGGTCTTGCTGACTCCGAGTCTAACATGCTATCCACTGTAGCACCTAGCTGTCCCAGAAGCTCTGAAGCCATCTGACACAACCCTCTCATTTTACAGATGAGAAAAATGAGGCCAAAATAATGAACTATCCAAAGTCATACAAGTAATCATTGGCAGAGTCAGGACTTGAACCCAGGTTTTCCTACTCCTGCACCATTAGCAGTGTTCTAGCTGAAGGGGCTTGTTACTATGTAACAATTCTATGTTGCTTCTCCCACTGGACTGAGTTCCTTGGGAGAAAGTGACCTTTTTTTGTTGGCTGTTGCACAGCTCTTGGCACAATGCCGGGCATACAATAGGCACTTAATAAATGCTTATTGACTTGCCTTTGGAGCTGCAGCCTTGTAGTAACCTGCGGTCTCCTCCACACTGGTTTTGCCGGAGCTTTTTTGCTTAGTAATATTGAAGCTTAGCCAGATGGTCACGTTAATAAGTGAGCCATATCTGCAGGCAAGCAGGGTGAAAAGCAGAGTCAGAGCACCTGGACTTTGGAATCAAGCTTCTGCCCTACTTATTATCTGTGAGACCATGGCCAGTCACTTCCTCCTCTGGGTCTCGGTTGCTCTCCTCATTTGTCAAACTATTTGGGCGCAAAGGTCCCATAAAGCCCTGAATCTTAGGGTGCTATGATTCTTCCAGTACTTGGGGAAGTCTGAGCAAGACGGGACCTGACAAGGCACCAGAGGATGTGCAGGGAGGGCAGGAGGGACCCACCTAGTATCAGAAGGCTTCACCCCTAAAGAGCAGTTTCCTGTCCTAACCACTAGGCGGCTTCCTAATATAATGTAATACGGAGGGGCTTGGTATCGTATCTGAAACTGTCTAACCCAAACGTGGCCAGCCCAGCTAGCCCAAGGAGCTCATAGGTGGGAGGGCCCAGCCCTGCAACTTCCATAGGGTTTGCCAAGCAAAGGGGCCTGCTTTCCTCAGGGATCTAGTGGGGCTGAATGCCCAGTGCTGCATCCTCACTGGTAACTATGAAATCTAGTTCTTCTAGACCAAGGATCTGAGTAGCTCTCTATCATCACCACCCCTCAAAGCACATACCCCACTCTCCTTCCCCTCTATTCTTCTCTTTTCCCTTTACCCCTGCCTATACCATAAGCCTATCCAATACCCTTGAAAAGCAGGAGACAGACACCTTTCCAAGTCCCAGCTTCCTTTTGGAATAGAACCATGGGGGTGTTTGCTCCTCATAAGGTTTAAAGCTGGAAGAGACCTTAGACTCTTCCATTCAGAATCAGTACTGGAAGAGATCGCAGAATTCATACCTGCCATAGAATTGGCTATGCAACATACCTACCTTGTAGACTTTTCTTGGAGACTTGAAGTGGGAGGAAGGGGGACCCAGGACCCCTCCACCAGCAGCTCATTCCACTTCAGGATAGCTCTCATTATTAGACATTTTTCCTTACCTTAAACCTCAAGTCCAGCCAACCTACTCATTTTACCTACCAGGAATGTGAGACCTAAAGAATGTAAGTGACTTGCCCAAGGCCATCCAGGCTGCTAAGAAGCAATGCTGAGATTCCACTGGAAGGGCAGAGAAGTGGAAAGAGTGCTGGATTTGGAGCCAAAAGAGCAGAGTTCAGATTGCAGACACTTGCTGCTGCTATGACCTTGGCCAGTCAGCTAACCTCTCTGGGCCTTGGGTTCTTCATCTGTAAAATGAGCAGGGTTGGGCTAGATGACATGTAAGGTCCCTCTTAGCCCTATGCCTCAGATCTCTGATTTGAGGTCCAGGATTCTTTCTATTATGCTAGACTGCCACCTACCTCTAACACAGGGGTTCAAAACCTGGATTTTAAAAAAAAGTAATAAGTTCTTGAACTTATGTATTTTTAAAAAGAATTTTGGATAATTATTTCAACATAATTGGTTTCCTTTGTAATCTTATGTTTTATTTAATGCATTTAAAAAAAAATGTCTGAGAAAAGCTCCATGACCCAAAAAAGATTGAAAACCCCTTTTGGGTGTAAAGCCCCTTAAAGAATCGTGGGATCTTTGCAGAGAATACAGGGGGTCTTGAGTTGGGAGACCTTGATTCGAATCCTGGAACTGATAGAGGATGTGTGATCAGAGGCAAGTCATTGAGCTTTTCTGGAGACTGGGGCTTCCCCACGTGCTGATTCAGATGCTGATACTCCACCACACTGCATTTTGGAAAAGACCACGCTATGGAACTAAGTTATGACACTATTATTATAATACTGTAAATGACGTTAGAGTGATCACACCATTCTCTCCCCAGCGCCAATCCCCGTTGCTTACAGAAGACCCTTCAAAGAGTGGCCCATGGAAGCAGTCTCATTGACAGCTTTTACTAAGGCTCTTTAAGTGAGTCACCTCCCTAGACTTCCTCCTGGAGGAAACGCTAACTAGAGCCCTCCCCCAGGCAAGAAGAAACTTTATTTGGGGGTGGTGAGAGAGCATAGGGAGTGTGCATCACGCTGGTTCCGGCCGCAGAAAGAGATCTGAACAGAGGAAACCAGACTAGTGTAGAACAAGGGACATTTTTTTAAATGTACTAGCATTTGTTATTAAGGTTCTATTGCAGTGATTAAAGGAGCCCATTGGGGGTACAGATAAGGAATATGTGCCCCAATAAACTCGATGGGGGGGTGAGAGAACTGGGATCTGGAGCCCTGGGGCAGGGTCCCAGGGTCCCAGGATTTTGAGCTGAAACGGACCTTAGAGGTCCAACCCCTTCTGTAAAACAGAAAGGGGTATTGAGGTTCAGAGAGAAGTAACTTGCCCAAGTAGCAGAGCTGGGCTTAGTTCTTACTCCAAATTCAGCTCTTTCCACCACTTGATACCGTTCTTGAAACTGCCGCAAGAGACTATATAGTTCAGTTGAGGAGGAAAGTCGGCAGCACGAAAGAGCTGGGTCAGACCTATGGAAGAACATGCCCAAGGTGAATTGCAGACGTGGCGAAATTCTACGGTTTTCTGGAGGGTTTTGAGGTTGTGCAAGCTAGTCCCAGGTCTGAAGGAGGCGGCTCCCCGACCTCTGTGGACCTCCAAGTTTCCCTCCCAGCCCTAAATCTATAAGTCCTCTGGCTAGACGACCTGGGATAAACACTGTGGGCAGATGGTTAGAACGAAGTGCCTCCAAGTAACCCCAGTCTCCTGCTCCACACTTGAGGTGGAGTATCTTTCTGGGTGCGTAACCTTTCGCCCCAGCTTGGGTAATGCCTCCCCAGGACTGGAAGAAGGTCTTAGGGAGGGAGAGAGAGGAGTTGGCCCCAGCTCTCGGTTAACAGCGTGCTCGAGTTACAGAGGCGAGTCCAAATGGGCATGCACATACTGCAAGTCCCAGCTTGCAAACGCAACGCCCCGGAGAGTGAGAGTGAGTGTGTGCGTGTACGTGTGAGTGTAGGTGCGCGCGCGCGCGGGTGCACAGGGGCGCGCGCCCCGAGATAGCGCGGGCCAAGCTGGTGGGGGGGAGGGGGAGGGGAGACCACAGTCAGCCACTCACAGAAACAGTAGTGAAATCTCCCGAACACTTTAACTGTCAATCAGACTTAATGGGGTATAAAAAAAAAAACCCTCCATCTGTGCTGCCGGGGAAGGAGGCAATGGAGAGACTGCCTACGAGGCAAGGCTGACAGGGGGTGCATCTTGTTCGCCCTCGGAACCCGAGGACTTCAAGTTGGGGGCGGAAAAAAGAGAGACAGCAATAAATGCTCCAGGAAGAGAGAGAGAGCGGGGCGAGGGAGGGAGGCTGAATCGAGCGGCAACTGCCCCTTTGCTAGGCTAGCCCCCGGGAGCCAGAGAGAGAGCGAGGGGGAGTGAGCAACGCACGTAGAGAAACTGACACCGGGACCCCCCCCACTTCTCCTGCAAAGTGCTGGCAGTCAGATCTCATTTAAGCAATTTCCTGCGCGTAAGAATAGCAATGATTCGGAAGGCGTTCGCCGGCTGAAATTGGCTGAAACCTCAGCCACTTCCCCCCCCCACCTTCCCTTTGGGGGGGGCTGGATTTTGCTTTTTGTTTGTTTGGGTTGTTTTTTTTTAAGTCCTGTACTTTGAGACTTGCGAGGCTGTGGCTGCGTGCGCGTTTGTGGTTGGTGCTCCCCCCCTTTCCTTCCTAAACTCCCCATATCTGTCAGCCAGTAAACATTACCTGAGAAATCCCCAACGGAAACGACAGCTGAGGCAAGAAGCTTCTTGCCTTCAACGTTTCCACCTCCCGCTCCCCTCCCCCCACCCCCCTCCTGCTGTCCCAACTTTCTGAAGTGCCTTTTCCCTACCTAAGCAGGAGTCATCTCTTTGCCCCCCACACCCGCTACTTTGCATTTTTAGAGGGGACCAGGTGATCTCTTTCTCACCCTCCCCACACACACACGTCGCCCCCACCCGACTTATTTACTATTTGCTTCTCTTTTTGGTTCTGGGTTGCGAGTGTGTAGTTTTGCACAGGGGGTATCTTCCCCCTCCCCCCCCATCAACGCCTCCCCCCTCCTCGGAGGATGGTTTGGAAATGGCTGGGCGCGCTGCTGGTGTTCCCGCTGCAGCTGATCTATTTGGTGGTGAAAGCGGCCGTGTGTCTGGTGCTGCCCGCCAAGCTACGGGACCTGTCCCGGGAGAGCGTCCTCATCACCGGCGGGGGAAGAGGCATCGGGCGCCACCTCGCTCGGGAGTTTGCTGAACGCGGAGCGAGAAAGGTGAGCGCGGGCCGGCGGGGCCGCCGAGACGGGTTAGGGGCTGGGCTGTGGAGGCGGGGGTGAGGATCGAGAGTACTGGAGAATTTTAGGGTAGAGGATGGGGAACTGAAGGGGGAGAGAGAGGATATCGCACCTGCTACTAGAGCTAGTCTCCCTCTCTGTCCTGTGTTTTGGGGGAGTAATCAGCTCTCCGCGCTCCCCCGAAAATAAGAATGCTGACCTAGTCAATTTCACCTTGTAAATTTCCCCTGGGATTGGAACTGTCTGGCAGGTCCTGAGCTGTCTGTTCACTTCTGTGGCCTTGAGTGAGTAGCTCCCCCACCTCGAAACCTCCTAGGATTCAATCCTCTCCCACATTCCCCCCCACACACCCAGGTATTCTTTCCCTGGTCCCTCTCCCCCACCCCACCCCCTTCTTTTTTCCCCTTTGCTGCAGCTGGGGTGATTATTGTAGGGCGTGTGCGTGGTTAAGCGTCTAAGAAGCTTCTCACAAGTTGGCACTTTTCAATTTTCCTTGGCGGCTCCATTCCAAGCCCCAACCTGAGAGCCAGGAGATGTGAAATCTCCGATGAAGGCGGGGGAGGCTGTGTGGCAACTGTGGGCGCCTTCTGCTCTGTTCTCCTGGATGGTCTGGGCACCCAGCCATGTCCAGGGAGGTCAGGGCAACTGGGAATCCAGCAATAGGGGTGGGGGGTGGGGGAGATTTCAGTCAGCCTTTGTTCTGTCTTTTAAAATATATATATACACACACACACACACACACACACACACACACACACACACACACAAAATTAGAATTCAGTTCTCCTGCCCAAATAAGTGGGGAGGTAACTATGTGGAAAGAAGGGCCAAGAAGTAGGAATCTTCATTCTCTGTCTCCCTGCTGTTGGTGGGATCCCTGTTGTTGGTGGGCTGTGCCCTCTTCCTGGGTTTGTTGGGGGTTTTTTGGGGGGGGGAGTGACTCACCCAGTGAGAAGAGCAGTCTGAAGAATCCTATTTGAACCATGTGAACTGGAGGAACAAAAACATGGATTTAGTTTGGAACTTAAAGTGTTGGGGGGGGCCAACAAAGTCAACTGACATGACATGGTGCTGCATACCTTGGGGATTAAGTAAATATGTACTGTATAAAACCAAACCTGCATGTAATTTCAGGTTGCTTTTGTTTTGTTAAACACTGCAGTGAGATTTACAATTCCTTAGAGGTTGCTTGGGACCAGGAACTGAACTTTGGAGCCCAAATGATCAGGGAAAGAGCAGATCATTTGTTCATTAACTCTTCACTGGCCTGCCCCATTGGTCACAGTGTCTGGCCCCTGGTGGGCTTTCCATGACTCCTGCTCTCCTTGCTTCCCGCCTCTGCTTGGGTGGTTTGGGCAGCTGCTTTGCCTTACCCTTGGATGTGGGATAAAGGGGGGGGGTGGAAAGAAGTGATGGCCTGGAGTGTTTTTAACCCCTGGTTGAACAACATTGAACATCCAGAAGCATAGGCTGTTCTCAGCAGCTTGATATCCTTGGAAAGATACCTTCATTTTAAAGATCCCCAAATGCTTTGCACACAGGAGTCCCTGGCCTGGGTAGAGCTAAGCGGAGGAGAGGCAGGCTTAGGGATGGAAGTGTGCAGCCTACCTACACTATAGATCCAGAGAATTGTCCATAGCTGTCATTTTCTTACTTGTCAGCATCCCTGGAGAGACTTTCTTCTGAATCATCCAGCTGGCACAAGGGCTGGATCTCTTTAACAATCTCCTGCCTAATTGGTTGCAGTGGGCACAGGGAGAACCCTTTGAGTCAGCCTGGAAAAACTCGACTGATGGTAAACCAATCCCATGTAACATTGAATTGAGGGGACCAGAAAGATAAGACAAGGAAGCTCGCTCAATCTCTGTGATTCTTTCAGCAACTCCCCACCCACCCCCCATTCCTGAGCCCCCACCAAGACTAGGATGGATCCCATCTCAGAGTCATTAAAAATGGACCTTGCACAGATCTTTTTGAGTTCAGGGGAGCTGTGGGAATCAGTAACAATAATAGCAACTAAAGCCACAATAATAATATAACAGCACCCCATATTTGTAAAGCACTTTTCATAAATTACTTCAACAGACTGCCTCTGGATCACATTGCCTTATTGGCTACTGTTGTTTAGTCCTATAAAAGAAGAAACAAGGGTCCTCTCCCATTACTTGTTAGAGAGAGCTGGGTCTAAACTAAGGCTAATTGTGGTGGCTTTCCTCCTACTCCCATAACAGAAAAATTTTGAAGAGTTACCAACTTTCCCCAAGTCAATCTCCAGGCCATTCCACTTCTGGCCGGTATCATAGGTTACCTCCTGACCACATCTCCCATTAGTATTTTAGGGCCCTGTGAGTTCAAGAGGAAGAAGTGTGCTCTAGGAGTTCAGAAGGACTGTGAGAATAGTTAACTGTGCAGGGTGGGGATGCCTATTTGAAAGAGAGGCATCTTCTCATTCAGGGCTGAAGCAAGTATGTGGTTTGGGATAATCTTACAAAAGAGCTCTTCTGCAGCCCCTAAGTAGCCCTGCAGTTTACTTTAGGTAGGAGGCGATGTTTAACCACAGATTACAAATGAGAATCCTCTTTTGATTGGGCACATTGAGATTTGGGGGGAGTAGATACTATGTCAGCAGAAGAGAGCCCACCTAGTCCAGATCCAGGAAGTAATAGGAATGATGCCAACTGTATGCATGAAGCAAAGTTGGGAGTGGCTGATGGTGGCTGACATCTGGGAGATGTCTCCTCCCCTCCCTTATCTAAGAACGGTAATGATTATGGTCATAATGTTATGAATGTATATAGGGCTTTAAGGCTTGCAAAGGGCTTATATCCATTATCTCATTAGAGGTTCCTTTTTAAAAGAACCCAATTGGCTATCAAGGCCATTTGGATGCCTCCTGCCAGTGGGATTGATGTGCCAGAAGCCACAGGGTCCTGATTCCAAAGGCTGTGGACAGGTGTTATTCCAAAATATGTATCTGAGTATTAAGAAAATGAGGAAAAGAGGGGGGGCAGCTAGGTGGTGCAGTGGATAGAGCACCGGCCCGGAAGTCAGGAGGACTTGAGTTCAAAATCCGGCCTCAGACCAAACACTTGACACCTACTTAGTTGAGCAAGTCAACCCCAATTGCCTAAAAAAAAAAAATGAGGAAATGAATTTAAATGTTTTTTAACCAGGAAGAGATTGCTTCTTTCCTGTCAAGTATAATGGAATGAGATCTCTCCCTCCTGAAATGGCTCGAGGGTCTTGCCTGTATCTCTCCTTATACTTCTTACACTCTCCCTTGTATTCGTTGCTTGTATGCTTGCCTCTCTCCTCGTTTGATTATAAACTCCTTGAGGGCAGAGTCTATGCTTCTCCTGCCTCCCTCCCCCATCTTGTTTTTTTCTTTTCAGTGCTTTTCCCAGAGTAAAAGTTAGCTGTTACATCAAACTGGATGACGAAGGCAGGGGTGAAGAGTGGTTAGGTCATCCAAATTAAATCTAGTTGGCTTTCCCTCCTTGGGACAAGCACTTAATAAGCACTCCCATTCTGGACCAAGGAATCGAGCTTTCCAAATGACCTTTCCATCCATCAGTGTTCTTTGGGGTTGACATGACCTTAGCACGAGTCACTCAGAAAAGAGGAAGATGTACTGTTTGTTTGGGAAATCCAGGAGACCGGATGGAAGTATTTGCCATAACCAGTCAAACCTTGGGGCCAGCATTGGGTAAGCAGTTTGAGCAATCCAAGGTGACAACATTTGATACTTGGTCATCATTTCAAACCCTGGGAGAAGGTAGGGGACACATTGAATTCTGGTCCCAATACTTTTGATCACTGGGGCTAGCTATCAATTAGTGGGCATACATCCAGGGTCAGAAATGCATTCCATGAGGGTGATATGATAACTGCGGTCGAGTCACGTTTGTGCAATTGATAACATTTTATTTATAGAGTGAGATGTTACAGTACTGTTTTCTGGTCATTCTCTACAGAACTGGCCCTTTAAAGAGATTTATCAATTCCATTCCCTCTTCATTCAACAAACATCTGTTAGGTTGATACAGGGTATAGGGCATGGCATTGAGGAAGCCTTGGTGCCTCTTTAAATTATTTTGAATTACTTTGTACATACTTTGTATTTATTTGTCTGAGCACAGTTCCCCAGCTGGATGAATGGTTGAATATAAACTCTTTGATGGGAAGGATGTATCACTTTTCTTAGTGTTCCTAGTACCCAGCACAGGGCCTTCCATGTGGATATTTGTTAAAGCCAATCAGGATAGAGAGGAAGAAAAGGATACAAAGATACACTATATTAAGATGGAGTCCTTGATGAAACACGTGCATGAATAAATAATAACAGACATAAATTTGAGAGTTACAAAACAAAGTTAAGGGTCTGTGTTTGCCATCTTCATTATCCTGTCATCTGGTCATCCACAGCAGTGAGTTTTCCTGGACACACTGAATTGCCATTGAGTGGATCAGCACAAAAACTTGACATCTCAGGTGTGAATTTTAGGATGAGATCATCTAATCCAACCGTAAAACTGAGACTGACAACTCAAATGACTTGCCCAAGGCCACAGCTAGTATCAGAGATGAGATTTGAATCCCGGTACTCTGAAACCAGAGTCAATGTGCCCTTTCCACTATACTGTGCCGGTGCTAGTGACCTACATTCCTTTATTGATCCTCAAATGGCCTGTCCTCCTCTCCATCCCCTGTCTAATTTGGGGGTGGTTGTACCACCATGAATAGTGTCTTTGGTCAACAACGGGGAAGTTTTTTATTTGTTGTGATGTCCTGGCAGGACATATAGATGTTGGAAATATAAAACTAGAACTCGAGAGTAAAATAAATTGGCAAGATACGTGCTGTAGAGGTGATGATGGAAGCCGTGGAAACAGATAAGCTCACCAAGGGAGAGACTGTCAAAACAGAAGGCTAGATGAGAGAACCTTGGGGTACATACATGTTGCAGGAACAGGAAGTGG